CAAAGCACATCCCAAGGCCTGACCGAAGTCGAAAACAAGCGACATTTCTAAGCAGAGTCCCAGTCCACTGCATCACACCTTTTTGCTCGGACGCGCTCGTTTCACCGCCCAACCTTTATCCGCCCTGATCTTGAATGTAGAATCCCGTTGTTTGTCATGTTATAGCCGTTGGATACCATTTCCTTCACTGTAAAATTTGCCATTACATTCACTAGTTATTTTAACGCTCACGCGTATCGCTTGTGCAACTCGCGTCAAGTATTCTGTCACGGGTTTTCAAATTTAATTTGCATGACACTTACGTCACTTCCGTTCTATTTTTGTCTTCAAAATATAGTTTTTCTGTTTTGTATTTTTATCTTTTTCTGGTGTTAGTTTTAACATATTTGGTAGTTGTTTACACTTTCAACTACAGATCATTGTGTTCTATTTGCAACAGAATATCTTCGTTTTCTTTTTATGAATTCTACAATAACTTAGTTTACAGTTTAGAATATGTTTTCTTGGTTTTCGATATTCTTCTGTAGTCCTTAGTCTATTGCATTGTATTCTGCATTATTTTTTTGCACGCAAACATTTAGTTTACTTTGTATTCTTTTCCTAGGTTTAATCTTTCAGTAGTTCCCGTTTATTTTATTTTGGTTCATTTTATTGTTGCTGTATTGCTGATGGATTTGAGTTTCGAATAAATTGCTTTGGAAAATCCTCGAATTCTTCTCGTTCCTGCCGCTGACCGCCCCTTCCTGTTACATATGCAAAATTTGAGGGGTAAACAAGGTGCATTGTGGTCGATTCGAAAATGGTTAATACAAATCAGACTATTTTGAGCCGGCGCTCCCTGTGGCTGACACAGGAATCCCAGTCTTAGCGTCCACTGCTGGGCGTATTACATTCCAAAGTTCCTCTCTGACCATAGCTGAAGCTCTGTCAATCTTATCATGAAAGGTTGATTCATCTGGATACAAGATAAAATATAGCAAGCTTTAACTTCCGGTTGACATTGTTTCGCGTAATATAGCCTAACAGACGACAGATTCTTTCGTTGGTTTTCTTGTTTCCGGCTTGAGTAAGCATTCAAGTAACTTAAACTCCACGCTACGATCAACCATACAGTATGTACTGCAACTTTATAATAACGTTTTATACCCGGTGCTGTACTGGTATTATATACACTGCCTTGATCGACAAATAGTGGCCGAGGGGAATATAACCCGGCCGGTAACTCTTCACCTTTGCAGTATGTTTATCAAAATTGTCAAATAATTCGCGGTGCAAACAATGTTCGTGCTATAATTCTTTGGATCCGTTCTAGTCATGTGGAAGCTGCTGTATCACGGTACTACGGTTTACTCGTTTTTAATCCAATGAAAAAGCAGTCAAACAACTCTTGAACTCAATTTTGTTTACTCATTTCAATTTCTGAAGTTCTCCATGATATCAAAGATCAAACTACGCTGGATTTCGAATGGCGTTCGAGGATACTAAGACAATAATCCTAATAGTTCATAATCATAATACAATGGAACCCCGATACAACGATATGCTAAGGGAGCAGTGGAATTAGATCGTTATATCGAGGTATCGTTATATCGAGACTCCCGATATAACGATATTGTCGTAAAATAACCGAAAATATCGTTATATCGGGGTAAAATTAACATGTACTTTTTTTACTACATATTGTTTAATTTGTAATGAGTATCAAATGACTCACAAATGTAGCGTTTCAAGCACGCAGCAATGTCCTTAAACAATTTGCAAAGCATTAAGACGTTTTAAAGGTTACACAGTAAAGTCTGTGGTATGAATCGTAAAAGGGAAACAAAACAAAACTTAAACATTTGAAGTTGCGACTGTAATCGTCTTTACTTTTCACTGTTTGCGTGTTCTTTATTTTTCTTTTTTAACAGACACTTGTTCATTAATTAAAGTACTCTTCAAGTTTGGTTTGCCTCACTTGTTATAGAGCGATTTTCGTATGACCTTGAAATAAAAACGCGCGAACAATACAGAAACAACAAACGAACAGAAATAGAGCGATTTGATTGGTTTATCGAACACATACAAACGCGGGTGGCTTTTGGTTGGTTAAGCGAACACTCGGGTGAAAAAACTTCATGCCCGAGAACTTTCTAGAAACCAACCCATACTTCGCTTTGACGTCATACTGTAACACGATTGGCCAATCGAACAATGCCTACTCCATATTAGGGTTTTCTTTGGCGGGAAAACTAAGGGGCCATGTTTTGATCTTTTCATCCATTGGCTGATAAAACAAATAACGAACACTTACGGAAACCATTTTTCAAGGTCATACGAAAATCGCTCTATTTGCAATCTTGAAAATGCATCCTCCATCGCTGAAAGAGAGGAAAGGAATTCTCTCTCTCGTGCGCCCGAATCATCCAACCTAATAATAAAATCTCTAATTGCTTTGACAGCTTCAGTAGCTTGCACAGGAGTCAGGCCTAGGGGCGTAGGTTCAATCATTGATTCTATTGATATATCATCATCAGAGTCTGACTCGTCCCCTTGAGAGCTAGTATAATATGCGCGACTGTATCTGTGTACTGATACTGTAGTATCGTTATATCGGGGAAGATTTACGCTCGGTGCGCTAAAAACTCATCGTTATATCGGGAATATCGTTATATCGAAGATCGTTATATCGGGGTTCTGTCGCATACATTTTACTGTAACTTTTGCCGGGACATAGCATATCTATCGTCATACCGAGGATATCGTTATATCGAGGATCGTTGTATCGGGGTTCCACTGTAGCAATAATAAAAACGCTGTGGCTATATATGGCCAGTAACCGGTCAAGGTGTTAAAAATACGAAATGACCGGCTTTCACAAAATCGAAAGATTCTAGCTAATCTAAACTATCATATGTCGATTAAGACAAGTCAAGCGATCCTGAAATGCCTTATAGAGTCTCAAGTCTAGTGTTTGGTTTGCGCTGGACTCAGAAGACGAAACCATGTTTTGTGACACTTAGAACTTTTTTCAGCTCGACTGCCGGTCAAGGTTTTCAAAACACTAAATGGCCGGCAGTCCTATATTCAGTACATTTCGCTGTACTTTTCTTAATCGACATATGACAGTTTGGTTTAGCTGGATTATTTCGATTTGTGAAATTTATGGAGAATATGGGACTGCCGGTCATTTAGAGCCAGTTTGAAAACCTTGACCGGCAGTCGAGCTGAAAAAAGTTCTAAGTGTCACAAACCATAGTTTTGTCTTCTGAGCCCAGCGTGAACCAAACGCTATTCTTGAGATCTATAAAGCATTTCAGGATCGCTTGACTTTTCTTACTGGACATATGATAGTTTGGTTAAGTTAGATTTTTTCGATTTGTGAAATTTACTGAAAAGACAGGACTGCCGGTCATTTGGTATTTTGAAACGCTGTGGCTATATGACCGGCAGTCTGGTATTTTCACTAAATTCGACTTATCTAAGAAATAAATAAATTCGACTTATCTACTTATCGACTTATCTAAGAATCTTATCTAAGAATCCCTACCAATCCAAACTATCATATGTCGATTAAGAAAAGTCAAGCGATCCTGAAATGCTTTACAGATCTCAAGTCTTTGGCGTTTGATTTACGCCGGGCTCAGAAAACGAAACCATGTTTAATGACACTTGGAGCTTTTCTCAGCTTCCTCTTTCCTCTTTCCTCTTTCCTTTTTCCTTTTTCCTCTTTCCTCTTTCCTTTTCGACTTATCTAGGAAAGATCGAAGCGACTCTGCTTGCAGGGTAGACTACAGGTCATTTAGTGTTTTGAAAACCTTGACCGGCAGTCAACCCGAAAAAAGTTCTAGGTGTCACAAAACATGGTTTCGTTTTCTGAGCCCAGCGTAAACCAAAGGCTAGACTCGAGATCTAGAAAGCATTTCAGGATCGCTTGACTTTTCTTAATCGACATATCGTGATAGTTTGGATTGGTTGGAATTCTTAGTTAAGTCAAATTTATTGAAAATACCGAACTGCCGGCCATTTAGTGTTTTGAAAACCTTGACCGGTTACCTGTCATATGGACACAGCGTAATAAAAAAGTCGATCAATGTCTTTATTTAGGTAATAGATTCTCGTACGGATGCTTTGCTTTGTGATACTGAAGAATGGTATTTTTTTGCCTTGTATCAAGATTTCGTTATGCGTGGTGTACGTGGCATTCTTTCTTGTTCGGGTTTTGTATTTGAATAAATCATCAATGAATGCATTTTTATTTACATTTAGCATGACCCGAGGAAAAATACTTTAGAAAACGGTACTTTTACGAAGTTGAATTAATTTTAACCTTACGTCTTAAAGAAAGAGAAACATGTAAAAGAAAAACTTTCATCTCGTTCGGTCTATAAATGCAAACTGTATCAAGTTTTTTGATTGGGATGACTGTCACTTTTCGAGTGGGTCTTAAGCAGCATTATGCTTATTAATTCAACTAGAATTTCGGTCCGTCAAACTGACGTATTTTGAAAAAAAAAAAAAGAATTCAACAAATATTTGTCGATATCTGTCAACACATACTGACGCACTCTGAAGCAATCGATTGGTTTTTTTAATCCAATCAGAGAAAAGGAAGGCCACAAGTGAACTCGTTTTTACCCGTAGCAAAGATATAGACGTCCGCTTAATCAAGTAATATTCTGTGCGCCATTTAGTCAAAGACATCAGTTCTATTCTTTGCCTCACCGCCGACGAGTGTAGCCTTTTATACTCTGTTGGTGTACAATCATATTCATTGTCTCCAAAACAAGATGTGCTCGTCGCTTTGAAACGTCCTCACGGCGGCGTGCCGTGCAACGATCTTAAAGTTTCTGCTATCTCTTACACCTTTCCCCGCGATTTGAGTTTTATTCTAAAGTAATATTTATTGGCTTCTCAGTGTACAAAACGTTGGATTGATCTATCTATTATTATTTACCTTTCCTTTTACAGATTTCTTCAAGACTCAGAGAAATTCAGTCATATCAGAAATCGACAGAAGAATGAAATTTATAACAATCTTGCTTACCATATGCATGGATACAAAGTTAGCTTTTTCTGCTAACCAGTCAAACGTAAGTATTTTGCGCTACATTTTTACGACTTCCCTTTAGATTTATGAGCAATTTTCTTCGATTCTTATCAAGCGAGGTGTTTTCCCAATCACACTAACAAGTATACGACTAATTATGATACATTTTTGTCGATGAAACTTCGTGACACTGTCTCGGTCTAGTGCAAGGAATTTTCTTCTTTAGCGCCTCCTTGGCTGCAAAACATCCGAAGACAATAAACTAACCCGACTTGCCTTCTTTCGAAACTGCATGAGGATTTTCTCTAAGGATTTAATAAAGAAAGAGACGAAAAAAAAGGGAAACAGTCTTATGACAGATTAACGATTATTATCAATTTTCAATCTAGAAGTCACTTAGGCCCCTTAAAGTATTACAACACCTAAAAGCAAAATTGAGAAAAAAACTTTTTGTATTATTATTAGGTAAAGCCTCAATGTCCAACTGTCATGATCAACACTTCAAACAATGGCGTGCCAGGGGTCCCCGGGGTCCCGGGACTCAATGGACGAGATGGAGCCAAGGGAGATCAAGGACCTGTAGGGCCACAGGGGGGCAAGGGCCTTAGAGGAAAAGCAGGAGCACCTGGAAAAATGGGACCTAAAGGGGCTAAAGGTGAACAGGGCAACCAAGGCCTGCAGAGAAACTGGAAACAGTGTGCTTGGAAGAACATCAATGACGGCAAAGACAGTGGATTGATAAAGGTAAAAGGCAGCTGAAAAGGGCTGAGAACAATACTAAGCAGGAAAAAAATGTCGTTTATTGAAATTTCTGTAAAAGCGTCCAGAGAGGGACTGAAAGATTTTAAATTTTCTGAATTACTCTTTGACTCTTATCGATAGACGTTTTCTTTCTTTCTGATTTTGATGAATTTCAACGTCTTTATTTCTTTTTTTTAGGACTGCGTTTTTAATAAAGACGCCGACAGCACCGTCTTAAAAGTGGAGTACAACGGCGACATCAGAATTGCTGGCTGTCTCGACTGCTGTTCGCGATGGTTTTTCACCTTCAATGGTGTGGAATGTCGCAAACCTCTCGCTATCGATGGCCTGATGCATATCGCCCAAAATCACGGAAGAACAGACACTAACATTCACAGAGTTGGTCAGATTGGAGGATACTGCGAAGGAATCCCTAAGGGAACTGTTCGAGTGGGAATCAATGTCGGTAGCTGCGTGGGAAAGAAAGCTGCAGAAGCTTATACTGGATGGAACTCCGTGGCCCGAATCATGATCGAGGAAGTTCCTCCATCTCAGTAAGAGGTCAAGACAACACACTCGGAGGACATTCACGGTCCTTTGCTTTGAGCTTTGCTTGATTATTGACGGCCTTGATGAAAATTAAGTAGCAGCCATATTTATAGTGCAATAAGTAATGTGGACGTCTACGGCTCAGTAACTATTAAAACATTACTTTTAATCAAACAGTAGTTGAGTGTTGACTTTCCGACCACGCTTACAATGCCAACTATTAAGTAAACTTTCTTTAATTTTTTTGTCCCAACGAAAAATATGATAACTCTATTTATATCAATCCAGAAAGAGTTTGTTCGAGATTTTGACCCGGGAGGGTGGAGGGGGCGAGAGAGAGGGGTACGCTGGATTTCAAGTGACGGGGATGATCGAGGGATGTTTTTGGGTTTGAAGATCACGATTCCGGGATTTGTTTGGGTAGGAAAATTTGGCGAGTATTTTTTGGGTATTCAAAACAATCTGAAGAATCGTGGCCGCGTAGTTCTCCGAAAGTTAAAGCCAAACTTGGCCTCGGGAATTCGGCATGGGATATTTGGGGGGTTAATATTTGGTCCAGGGATTTTTCTGGGTTTTGATGTGTGCCCCCGTCACTTGAAGTCTGTAGTACCCCGTGGGGATTTTGGTGCCTCGAAACGTCGATCTGAGTTAGGGGGCTGTTCGAATTACACCTGATCTGAAAAATAGCGTAACCGAGTGGTGAAAGCCGGATGGTTTATCCACGAGTATCATTTTTCTTAAAATATCAAATGAAGTGCTATTTAAGAATAAAAATTTGCAAAAGAGTAATTAAGAATAAAAGTAACATAAGGGACTGTGCAATAATTATCAGGAGGAGGGGGGGGGGGGGGGGGGGGGAAAA